ATTTTCTTAACACTTGATATATTTTTGATAAGATTTAGTAATATTATATCTAAAACCACATTTAAATTTAATATATATTATATACATCAAATAATATAATAAAATTAATATTAATGTCAAAATTTCAAAAAAATAATAATTAATGTCTATACACTAGAATCAGAAAAAAAATTATCTTACAAAATGATTTATATTTCATTATCACTTTGCGAGTAAGAAGACTTACATGAAAGTCTTCTTATGATGGAGATCTTAAAAATGATTTATATTTCATAAAAAAATATTTTGATATGCGAAAAATCATAATCATCTAATTATATATATTTGTAAATGATATAAATTTAGATTTAATAGAATTGAATTGTTTTCAATATAGATGAGTGAATGTAAGTTAGTCATGATATTCTTTGATTCAGGGTTTGGTAACTATGTTGTAGTATTATATGTGTTTTAGGGTTAGATTGTGGAATCTTAAAATTTATTTATTTTTAAATAAATTTTAACTATATGTGTTTAGTTTTTTGTAGATAAAACACTTTATAAGTTTAATTTAGGTTTAATAATATTTTTGTATGTGATTTAGTTATATATTTGATTTTGGCGTTTTGGAAGACTTAAAATTTCAAAGATATAATGCATTAGAAGATTTATTGAATGACTTAACAACATTTTCCCACTTAAAATGTTAAAAGAATTTAGGTTTCCCGCCTAAAATTAAGTCTTCCAATAAGTCTTCCTTAATTTTTCTAATGATAGTCTTATAGTGTATTAGTTTTTAAAATAACTTATAAATTTCATAAAATAATATTTTGATAGGGGAAAAATCGTAATCATATAATTACCTTTGTAAGTAATATAAATATATATATTTAATAAAATTGAATTGTTTTCGACATATATGAGTGAATGTAAGTTAGTCATGATCTTTTTTTGGTTTAGGGTGTGATAGCTATGCTATAGTATTGTATGTGTTTTTAAGGTTAGATTGTGGAACAAAATTTGACATATATGTGTTTAGTTTTGTGTATATTAAATACTTTATAAGTTTATTTTTAAGTTTAATAAAGTTTTTGTATGTGATTTAGTTCTATATTTGACTTTAGGGTTTTGGAAGACTTAAATTTTTGATGATGTAATGCACATGAACACTCTGGATGACTTAACAACAGTTTGCCGCTTAAAATTTTAAAAGAATTTGGTTTCCTGCCTAAAGTAAGTCTTCTAGGCGAATAGTAAGTTTTCAAGGCAAATGATAAGTTTTCTGGGTGAATAGTAAGTCTTCTGGACGAATAGTAATTCTTCAAGTAAGTCTTCTAGGTGAATAGTAAATTTAGAGTCTAGAAGACTTCTTGGAAGACTTTTCATATAAGTCTTATAAAGTCTTCTGTGAAAAGTCTTCTGTATCGAAAATATTTAACCTAATTGGAATTTTTGTCTTCCTATATAAATTAAAATTTACACATTCTTTTTTTTTCCTCTCAAAAGGAGGCAACACAAATGTAATATTTCTCACTCTAAATTATTTTCCGTCTCTCTAAACTATTTGAATTTGATAACACTAAACATTATATAAATTTCTCATTTTTATGTATTTCTCCCTATTTTATCTTGTTTTTGCAGGTTTTTCATTACATAGATGTCATCTTTCATTCATTTAAAGGTAGATCTGTAAATAATAGTTTTGTTTGTGGTTTGTTTTGTGATTTGTATGTATACTTTTTAGTAATTTCTTTTTTGTAAATTTGAAGAAATATTAATGAAAATATGGTAAATATGTTTATTGTCCAAAATTACTTAACATTATTAAAGTAACACAAGAGTAGAATAAAAGTATGGTTCTATGTTTGTGAAATCAGTGATGATATTTCTCAAGATGTAATATATGTGTTAACAATTTGTTTTCCATTTTACAAATCAATGAAATAAAAAACTTCAGTGGCCTTCAAATTCGAAACATGATGTTCATTATATAGTTCTTCTCATCTTTGGATCTCCTATTCTCTGCAAAAAAATATAAGTTTGTAACTATAAACAATTTCTTCTCATTAACTTATAATAATTTTTCATCACTTTTAACTTCTAAAAACTAAAACCAACAAAGTCTTTTAAGAAGTAAAATCGATAAATTTTGTAATTATAAAAAACTAAGATATAATAAGTAGGTTAACTCTTCCACCTTCATGTTCATATACACATTATAATCTTCTTGAAATGATTTAACATTTTTGAAAGTTAAAAAACTTATCTTAAATTACCTAACATTCTTAAAATACAAGTTTACAAAAACTAACGTGGAAGAATTCCACAGAATACTTATGCGAGAAGACCTCTTAACGAGTCTTCTCAAATTAGCTAGAAACTTTAAAAACATGAATATTAATAACCTCATAATTATCACCAATTAAGCTATGAATTTCATTGAAGACCCCAAATATAGTCTAAAACACATGAAATAACAATAAATCTTTAGAATTCATTTTGAATTTGAAAAAAAAATGAAAGTTTATTATACATTGTCGTAGAAGACTTACATGGAAGTCTTTCTGGAGAAGATTTTCAGGTAAGTCTTCTAGCGAAAGACTTTCAGGTAGGTCTTTTAGTAGAAAACTTCTAGGTAAGTCTTCTATTTAGGTCATTTTTCAATTAAAAATTTGTAAAGGAAGACTTTTAGAGAAGTCTCCCCTATAGGAGATTTCTCTGGAAGTCTTCCTTTGTAAATATTGGCTTACTTTTGTAATAAAAAAAATTCTCGAAAACACCTTGGATAAACATATTAGTTTTGCAATTGATCAATCTCTGCCAGAAATTTGACTTTCTATGGAAGATTTTCAGGTGATTTTTCCGCCGGAAGACTTACCTGAAAGTCTTCTCACCTTTACATTAAGTCTACTCGCTATCGATGTAAGTATGCATAAGTTACTTTTACAATTGACTAACTTTTATTAAAAAAATTTTCAGGTAAGTCTTCTTTGATTACTTTAGGTTTGACAGTCACAGAATAAAAATCTAAAAGACTTCCAGATAAATCTTCTCTTTCAGGTAAGTCTTCCGACCGAAGACTTATCTGAAAGACTTCCAAGCAAATATTCGACGGAAAACTTACTTAAAAATCTCTTAATTAAATTAAATATTTTAAGTTTAAATTTTCAATTGTAAAAATAATATACACATACTTGTAAGTCCCGTAGTTGTAACTAATTACTAAATAAAAAATTAGAAGAAGAGGTTCAAGTATTGTGGGTCTCTTTTAAAAGAGCTCTCTCTCTCTCTCTCTCTCTCCTCCTTGACTTTCTCTCGAGATGATAAAAAGCAGTTAGGTTTTGCTCCGGCCTGGACGACGGGTGGCGGCGCGTACCGGCGTCCGGAGGCTCCCCCTTCTCTCTTAGCCTCTCATTTTCTCTTTGCTATAACGCGGTCTCTCTCACTCTCTCTGCCTTGTCCATCGCTCTACTTCTGGAGGCTCCCCGACATCGTCTTTACTGCAGGAAATCTCCGGTCTTGGTGGAGACTTGCTAGATGTTGGAACTTCGACGCGTGATGGGTTGTGGGTTTCTGTCGTTGTAGTCGGCTTTAGGGTTTGGCTGTTGACTGGATCTGGGTTTTTCCCTTTTTCAGATCTAGTTTCGCCTTGTGGTTTGGAGGTGTGTGATCTTTGGTGACAGACTCTCTCAATGTTCTGGTATTGCGTGCTTGTTCGAAGATTCTCTTCGTTGGCGAGTGGAGTCGAGCTCTTCTTGTTTCTCCCCAGCTTGGCGTCTTGCTGTGGAGGCGAGGTTAGTTTCAACTCAAGATTCGGCGACGAGTCTCCCCCTGTGTCACTATGTCGGTGTGTGCACGGGTGGATTGTTGCTGCGTGGCTGCTATCTACTCCGTGAGTTTGCGTGTGCGGTTAAAGTTTGGAAGTTAAGCTCCATCGTCCATGGCTGTAGCTTCGTCCTCTCTGTTAATTGCTCGATCTTTGTTTGTCCCTCTCACTTCGTTGTTCTCTGGTGCTCTGCTTCTTCTCGATTCAGAGCTTCTTCATTCCGCTTCTTGGGTTGTCTCGACACTCCGTCGAGGGTTTTTCCTTGAGGCGCACAAGGGTAAAGTCCAGGTTCTCTGCGACGTTGCAAGGTTCATTGAAGTTCGGATGGTCTTTCAGTCCCTTCTTTCAGTGTAGCTTGTGTGGAAAGTCATCATCCCAGTGCCTCGTTGGCCTCTTGGTCAATTAGGTAGAGTGCTCTCCCCTCTTTTGCAGGTAATGAAGAACGAGTCTCAGCGTTGCCTCCTCTCCTGCCCATGTTCTGGCTTTTTTGACGGCCTGTAGATCTCCATCTTCTTTGTGAGATCCTTTTGATGGTTCTCATCGGTGGGTGCGTGTGAGGAGTTCCCTTCCCTTGGTCTTGTCAACTTAGTGGAGTGGATTTTTGTGGCAATGCGTGTGGAGGCTTGAGGGTGCATCCGCCTCTCTTTATAGACTCTATCTCCCATTCGTTGGTGTGGAGCTGTGGCAACATGGTCGTCTCTCTAGCCCAATAAATGTGTTGGTGTGGTCTTACTCTGTGATTGTGTCCGCGGTAGTGGCTTCCCCGATTTGGAGGTTTGTATGGGTTAGTTGCTCATCTTTTATTGAGGCGAGCACCGGGAATGGGCCAAATCTACCGGGTTCGTGCTCACGAGCTTAAAACGACTCTCTTCCATCCAACGGCTGCAATTGGTGTCTCTTGCTTCCTCTCCCTACAGTCGAGGCAATGCTCCGTGGTTGATGTTTTGTGTGGTGAAGCTTCCCTGCATTTTTAGTTTCTGTTTTTTTAAGTTGTTGTTTTGTTCTTAGTTTTTTTTCTGAGTTTTCTTCTTTGTTTCTTAGTTTCTATGTTGTTCTCTCAAAAAACTTTAAAATGGTAAATATACTTAAACATTTTTACCAAAAAAAAAAAAAAAATTAGAAGAAAAGCAGGAAATAAAAGGGCCTACTACGAAGCCCTTCTTTTTAAAAAGTCTGTTTTTCTTCTTCTTGCGCCGTCGTCGCTCACTCTCCGTCTCTCTAAACCCCTTCTCCTTCTCAAGCAAACAACTTCTTCGTCTAGTTTCGTCATCAACCGTAAGTTTTCTTCTCTTCCTTCAAGTATTCAATTTCAGAGTATACCGTCTTCCGTCCATAGATTGTGATATTCATGGTAACGGAACCTGTTATAGACTCGTTGCTTCCTTGTCATTTAAACCCTAATTTCTGTTGTAATCTATATGTTCCTGTCTCGTTTACGACATGATTATGTTTCTTTTTTAATAAAATCTTGAGCAGATGTCACTTGGAGATGATTTTGTGGAAGACGATGAGATGAACATGAGTGATGAAGACGGAGCAGCATCTGATTCTGAAGCAGAGTCTCTTTCAGATTCAGACAACGAGATCACCGAGAAGCTAACCGAACCCACAAAGACTGCTGTATACAACAGAGACGGTCTTCTTGATAAGCTTCAAGACATAAGCTGGCCTGAAGATGTCGAATGGACTCATAAACTCACCGTAGAGATCGATCAGGGACAAGAAGCCGTTGATGTAAACGACGACCTCGCTAGGGAGATGGCATTCTACACTCAAGCCCTCGAAGGGACGAGGCAGGTCTTCGGGAAGCTCCAGGAGATGGGGCTGCCTTTCTTAAGACCCGCGGATTACTACGCGGAGATGGTGAAGTCGGATACGCACATGGAGAAGGTGAAGTCTAAGCTTTTGTATGAGAAGAAGCAGATGGAGGAGACGGAGGAGAGGAGGAAAGCTAGGGATAACAAGAAGATGGCTAAGGAAGTACAGTCTCAAAAGATGAAGGAGAGGGCTAAGCAGAAGAAGGATGAGATTGAGTCTGTGAAGAAGTGGAGGAAACAGAGGCAGAAGAGTGGGTTTAGTGAGAAAGGTGCGGGGGAGCTTGATCTTGAGTTTGGTAATGGCAAGAGTTTTCAGAGAGGTGGTGGTGGTGGTGGTGGTAAGAAGAGACCAGGTGTGTCTCCTGGTGATAGGTCAGGAGGTAAAGGGAAGTCTGCTTCGAGGATGAATAATAAGAAGAGGGAGTTTAGGGATTCTAAGTTTGGTCATGGTGGTAGGAAGGGTTTGAGCAAACAGAATACTGCAGAGACTACGAATGATTTTAAAGGCGGGTTTCGTGGAAGCAAAGCTGGTGGAAGCAACAAGAGACAGAAGAGATAGATAATATCAGGATCCTCGCTTCCATACACACACGTGTAAGACAAAGACAGAACCGACACAAACATGTAACTAACTCACTACTTTCTCCTTACGGGCATGAACGTACTACTTTCCCATTTTCTTTATTTTATCTTTTCCTACTACTTTTATCTCTATCCTCTGCATATTTTTATTACCCGGAAAATTACCAAACCCATTTCCGAAAGACCCAATCCTTCTCCAGCAATGCTAGATTTTGATAATGGTTTACATAACGAGTGGAAGGGCTTCACGGTTTTCCCGGAGAAAGCTCTAATCCTAGTTTTAATTTCTTGGTGAAGAAGGTAGTTCTGGAGAGCGATAAATATGTAATCAATAAGTTAACCTTTTCAATCGTAACATAACCCGAACCAAAATCTTTCGGTTCCAAAATTTTGAAACTGAATTAACCAAGTGGGAAAAAACAATTGCTCAAATCGATTAGTAACATGTCTCTCATTATTCGTCTTTCATAAAACATTACACCAACAACAATGTTATATGAAAATCTTAACTCGTCAATTCCCTACTGGCGTACATACATCCGTTGTAAATCGTTTTACATAAGCCGCAGGCATACACTCTCTGAAGGACACAAGGGTTCTGGAGCTGTCCAGCTTATCCCACACAAAGGCCTCGTGATTTATGACCGCACCTCTGCCATTTTTCGCCGCAATGATAAGACGGTACAATACGCCTGCGACAATTTGCATGGTTTCCTGGACGACATTCACGTACACAAGATTCTTCTTCGCCTGCCTGTTATGCTCCGCGATTGCAAATTTGGCCATCACAATGGTTTCCTCATCAATCTTCATCAGTCTTGGGCTACCGAATTGGTGGCCTTCCACGACCGAGAACAAAGGGAGGAGGATGAGAGCGAGACAAATCCACGACTTCATAACTTCTTTTGGTTTCTTAATCTTCTGCCTTTAAGGGTCTCATATATAGCAGATGCTTTGCTATGGAACGTGAGAGAGACTAATCTTCTCATGCGATGATGAGTTCATTAAAAAGATTTTAACAAACTGGCATAAGATTTGTTAACGTGTTCGGGGCCGTCGGGCCGACGTGGAGATCATGCAGGCACTTAGTCAACGTACGAGAATGGAAGCTGCAACGGAGCGTGAAAGACACCAAATTGAGACCTTACTTGTAATCTCATAGATGACTGCAACCTATCGCGACATTGCTTCATCAGTTGTGACTTGGTCATCTTCAGGGTGGATCTAGCCCATTATTCTGGGATTGCAAAATTGCAAATGGAGAAACTCAACCTATAACCTTATAAAATTGATGGGTGTATCTATTGCCATTTTACCACTTTAGCAACTTTGTGTTAGTTTAAAGGGAAGTTAACTCAAACAGTACGAATTTTAGAACTTATTGTGAAAACCATACAAATCTTTTTTTATTACTATCTTTTTTTTTTAATATCTAGCATGTCTTTTTTTACATTGTGAGAAAAAACGTATTTACAAGAATGTCATTACTTTTTACTGCCACGTAGGCAAAAAATCGACTCAACGTAAGAATGCGGCATGAAACTCAACCGTAATACGAGGCGAATTTCGTTAAGGCCGAGTTATAGTAATGATGCGACTGACTTAAAGAATACCGCTGACTTATGAGAAATAAGACGAGTTATGAACATAATTCATCTATCGTTACGGCTGACTTAAATAAATCGGGCTGGTTTATGTGAGAACGGCTGAGTTACAGTCACATGATACGACTGACTTATACATTGGCGGACTGATTTTCTGGAAAATCCGGCTGACTTCTAGTTACGATACGGCTGAGTTAACTATCGTGGCTGGTTAAATGATCGTCGACAAGCTGAGTTATGAGAGGTTATTACGGCTGAATTATTTTTAATCAGCCGTAATAAAATGGAGTAACAGTAAACTCAGCTGAATTATGACTGACTTATTTGCGAAAGATTAATTACTAGAATAACATTCATTTGCCGGCTGATTTATTAGACGATACGGCTGACTTATTGTGTTTCATCTTTGTTATGGCTGATTATTAGCAAAAGATTAATTACTAAAGTAGTATTCACGTTTTGACTAACTTACGGCGTACTTGGTGGCTGACTTATTGTGGCTGACTTAAGTGTTCGGTTGGTGGCTGAATTACCGATTTTCCATGTCATCGTCCATGTCAGCTTTTATTTGCCATGTCATTACTAACGTTACAACCATGAAATTAGGGTTTATGTTACAGACGCCGCTCTATGTTCTTCACATTCTTCTCTTTTTCTAAAATCTTATGGATCCGGTAATTATTGTTTCAAGTAACTGGATTAAGAAAAACAGATATGTATTCCAACCTGATAGCAGAGGATGTATAGTTTTGCTTGCAGGTGAGAAAACAACACACGATGAACTCGATGATTACGGATTGAATGAGTCGAGTCATCAGATTCAGCTAAGCTACCAGTCTCGAATAAAGCTTTAAAAACAATGGCTCACAACACGCCACTAGTTTACGTCTCCAATACTCGTCAATTGCAAATTTTTTTAAGAAGAAAATCGAAAAAATTACGTCTCTGTGTAGAGTTTACAGAGAATGAGGATGATGAAATCAGCCAAAAATACGGAGCGGGAGATAAGAGTAATAAATTATACAGTTTCAGCTCAGGAGCAGAAGTCTCAGAAGTTGAATCTAGATACAATGGTTTTAGTTTAAAGGGGGAACACGACGACAATGAGAATAACTTCTCTAGTATCTGCGACGGAGAAAAACAGAAAGATATTGGAGAAGCTAAAGAAGGCGAAGAAGACAGTGAATTTGAAAGCCGATTTGACATGTTCGACGACTCAGATGGTGCCTCATCTGAAGATGATAACTTTAGCTCATGCGGTGAGTCTCCAGCACAAGACGAAGATTCACCGACACTACCGCCTAAAAAGAGATTTCAGACGAGTGAAACTTCTTACATTTGGAGCGGAACTAAAGGGGATTCAGAGGTTCTAAGGTTGGAGATATCTTCGTTAAACCTTGCTGTTGGACAACGATACGAGAATAAAGCTGGGTTGGAAAGACCACTGAAACTTCTTACAGTGAGAGATTGATTTGATTTTGATGTGGAAGTATCCAATCCAGATTTACTCATTGTTAAATGTTGGGTTGGTGGATGTCTCCAGAGAGTTTGTGCTTCAACACAAGGAGATTCCCCGACATTATATGTTTGTATATACGACTCGGAACATACATGTTCTGTAACTGAGCGTTCTAATCGATCTCGACAAGCAACACCAGATTTTTAGGACAATTGTACAGGGACTTTCTCGGCGACGTTGGTCCGACCGTTCGACCTGCGAGTGTTGGAATAGCTCTCAATAAATAGTTTGGTATCAAGGTAATTATTTTAGTTAGGCTGACTTATATCAACGTTACAGCTGAGTTATATCTACACTTTGTGGCTGACTTATATTAACGTCCGGCTGGGTTAGTTAAGTGAAAGGCTGAGTTATATAAACTTCGTATGATGCGGCTGAGTTAACTAAGTTATTCGGCTAGGTTATATCAACTTTGAACGATGCGGCTGAGTTAGCTTAGTTACTTGGCTGGGTTATTTAAATTTCAACGTTGCGGCTGATTTCGTTAAGTTATTGGGCTGTGTTATTTAAACATTACGGCTGAGTTAGTTAAGTTATCCGATTAAGTTATTTATACGTCATGGCTGAGTTAGTTAAGTGATTCGGCTGAGTTATTAATACGCTGTGACTGACCTTATTTGTATTCATTTGGGCAGATGGATTATTGGAAATCATATAAGACTGAAATTTGCAAGGGAAATCGATGAGGGAACACCTGAAAACGGGTTTGAAAACTTGCCTTCTTACTTATACATGATAAGAACGGCAAATCCTGATACAATAACTCGTCTTCAAATCGATGAGTTTGGAAGATTCTTGTATATGTTCCTTGCGTTTGGTGGGAGCATAAATGGGTTTCCGTTCATGCGCAAAGTCGTGGTTGTCGATGGTACGTTTCTTAATGGCAAATACAAAGGGACGCTTCTAACAGCACTAGCTCAGTATGGTAACTTTCAAATTTTTCCAATGGCCTTCGGTGTGGTTGATACAGAAAATGACGATTCGTGGCACTGGTTTTTTACGCAACTAAAAGTTTTGATTCCTGACGACAAGGGTCTTGCGATAATCTCAGATAGGCATAACTCGATTGGGAAGGCTATTCGAAATGTGTATCTGTTGGTTTCTCTAGGAATTTGCATGTACCATTTATATAAGAATATTCTGGGACGGTACAAAGGAAAAGATGTATTTCGTCTGGTGAAGAAAGCGGCAAGATGTTTTAGGATGCCTGACTTTAATGCAATGTTTGAGGAGATTGAAGCTATTAATCATGACCTTCATGGGTAACTCCAAAGAGCTGATGTCAGACTGTGGGCGCGTGTTCATTTCCCAGGCGAAAGGTACAATTTGATGACTACAAACATAGCGGAATCAATGAATAGAGCATATTTCATATTTAGTATCTTTTAAAAAAGGAAACAAAATGTTATCGAGTTATATTATGTTTTTAAAATTAAAAATAAAAATAATTAAATAATACTAGCAGTTACAAAGAAAAAAAATTAATTTTTTTTTAATACCGTTAGCAAAATTCTAGATCCTAAATCCTAAATCCTAAACACTAAACCTTTGGGTAAATCTTCAACCCTTGGACTAATTTTAAACCCTAAGGTCAATGATTAATCCAAGGGATTAGAATTTACCCAAAGGTTTAGGGTTTAGGATTTAAAGGTTTAGGGTTTATTGTTTTGCTGACGGTATTAAATATATTTTGTAAAAAATTAAGAATTTATCCAAAGATTTAGGGTTTACAAAAGGGTTTTAAGGTTTATGATTTATGGTTTAGGATTTTGATAATAGTATTAAAGTAAAATTAATTTTTTTTGTTGCAATACTATTATTTTTTATTTATTTTTATCTTTAAATTTTAATAACATAATATAACTCGACAATATTTTGCTTCTTTTTTTAAAAGATACTGAATATAAAATAATGTAATCTTATTGGTTGGTGAACCTCTAGGAGTGAAACCAAGAATTACTCATAAAAATATGGAGGACAAGGAAGGACTGGTAACTATATATACTAGTTAGTTTCGATCTTTGTTTGAAACGTCTAATCTATCAGAACTGGATGAGGTTCTGGGGAATATTTCAGCGACAATTACTGATACTATGAATAATGATCTAATTGCTTTTGTAAGAGAAGAAACAGATGGATGAGAGTGAAGAGAGGAGGAAAGCTAGGGATAACAAGAAGATGGCTAAGGAAGTACAGTCTCAGAGGATGAAGGAGAGGGCTAAGCAGAAGAAAGATGAAATTGAATCTGTGAAGAAGTGGAGGAAACAAAGGCAGCAGAGTGGGTTTAGTGAGAAAGGTGCGGGGGAGCTTGATCTTGAGTTTGGTAATGGGAAGAGTTTTCAGAGAGGTGGTGGTGGTAAGAAGAGACCAGGTGTGTCTCCTGGTGATAGATCAGGGGGTAAAGGGAAGTCTGCTTCGAGGATGAATAATAAGAAGAGGGAGTTTAGGGATTCTAAGTTTGGTCATGGTGGTAGGAAGGGTTTGAGCAAACAGAATACTGCAGAGACGACTAGTGATTTCAAAGCGGGTTTCATGGAGGGAAAGCTGGTGGCAGCAACAAGAGACAGAAGAGATAAATTAAGAAACGGTTTGATCATCTAAACCCATGGAGAACAATTTGAATACTATAAACTTATTTGTTATCTTGGATTATACTCCCCCTGTACTTAAAAGTATAATGTTTGAGGTTTTGCACATATATTAAGAAACAATAAATCAACTTTTTTAATTATTCTTTTTTGTTTTATCAATAAAGTTTAACCAATCATAATAATATCTATGGATTTATGTTTATTTTTAAAGACAAATGCTTTAATTATATCTTAAAACATCAATCTTTTGTATACAAGAAAACTAACTAAAACATCATATATTTAAATACGGAGGGAGTATGTCTTTTAGAGTTAAGAGAATGCCTTTTTTTTGTACTGGGTTTTGGACAATATCATTTAGTAACAATGTTTGTACTTATGATTTCTTCAATTAACGAAGTCCCATTTATTTTTGATATAAATCATCAATCTCTAAAGTCGTAAGTTTATCATTGCACAAGCTGTCTCTATCTTAGAGCAATGCCTTCTTCCTCTATTTCTCATTCTCTGAGGATTGATAGATTCTGTTTGGAGTTCATTGGCAAGGCATCTTCCAGTTCTCGGTTCATCTTCTTTCTGTTCAACATTAATCCTTATGGGGAACCAAAGGCCGGTAGTCTGGATCTGACATCTGAGCTATTTGAATCTACCCTGTTTGTTTTTCCGGTGTTGCTCTTTGGACTGGAATCTAATAATGGTGAAAGGGAGAGTGTCGATACCAGATCATTTACAGCAGAACATGGAAGAGAGTTTCTTAACCACAGAATTCTAGTTTCTAAACCATCACAAATTCTCATACAGTTTCATATTTCTGACAAACACGTGCACGATAATGTTTAAACTAATGTAAAACTATATAGTCTTAAAGTTAAAACTTTAACAAAAGAATTTGTAAATGTGTGTTTTCCCGGTGATCATATTTCTTGTGATTTATTTGCTTTATCGGTGACTAGAGAAGAGCTCAAATAAATATCTCTAGGGCTCCCGGAACAGTTTGGGAGGAAAAAGAAAGACATTTTTTCCTCCATTGTGGATTGGATCACGCAGAAAGCAAAAGGATGGTCAAAGATCTTCTCTTCCATTCTTCATAAACTCTTGCCGACTTTAATCTACAACATAGAGTAAAACCACTATAAATTAATATTCGATAAATTAATAATTTTTATAACTTAATTAATTTTGTTGGTTTCAATTTGGGTCGATTCAGAATTCCACACAAATCGATAAAATAATAAGATAAATTTTTTTGAGAAAATTATATGTAAATATATTACCCCATTAAAATTATAAATTAATAGTTTATATATATATATATATATTGTATAAGTAATAACCTATCATTATATTGTATGTTTTATATTCACAATGGAATTATTTTTATATTTTCTTAGCACTAAATATATTTTTGATGAGCTTTTGTAATATTATATTTAAAACCACATTTACATCTATGAAATATATATTATATACACCAAATAATATAATAAAATTAATATAAATGTCATTTTCATAAAATAATAGCTAGTTAATGTCTATACACTAAAATCAAATATTTTTTTAGCCATAATAAATATATTTGAAAAAAAAAATTGTGGCTCTAGAAAGGTGGACACTACTAAAACAGATTTTTTTTTTGTGTTTGTAGGGTTTGTTTTAAAAAAATAATAATAACTGAACAACAAACATACGGTAGAATATAATTTGGCTGAGTGACTTAATATATAAAAAATTGTTTGAATAAATCATTGAATCATATAAATCTTAGAGCATGATCAATGGGGGGTGCTTAAGAAGGTGCTTGTTGCTTTTTGTCAATGGATCCCGCATAAAACCTTAAGCACCTTTTTAAAAATACTTGATTAAGCACTCTAAATAGTTAGTTGCTTGCATTGTTCGTGGGTCCCACTAACACGTAGTGACCCACGATTAATTCAGATTTGTTTTTCTTTTTTTTAGAAAGAAAAATATTAAGTAATCCATTTGAGATGTTAGGGTTGAAGATGTTCTTAGAATGTATTGAATCGAAAAGGTGGCTACGTACCGTGCCGAACTTGACCCCAGACCCATGAAACATTGAGATGGGAACCACTTTTTGGTTTCGTCTTATTTTTTAAAAATTTGTAAGATTTTGTATAAGGAATTGATAATTGTGTAGATTTTAATTAGAATAAAATATCAAAATATGTCAAACTAATAAATATTATATTAATAAAATAATTTAGAATACATATATTAAAATAAATGAAAGTCATTTTAATCATTATTAGTTTTAAAAATATATAATTATTATGATAAATTATATTTTGTACTAAAAACATATATATGTTATTTTTGAAAGGGCCCGGCAAAATTCAGGATGCGTATTAGGTTCGGATGCGCCACCTGCTTAACGCCTAAAGATCTTCAAACAATGAATATGATTGATCGCAAATGTTTATAAAACTAGATTATGATTTGTTGTCTAAGTTGGGTATCCATTTGAACACATTGATTTCCTGACATTTCTAGTTTTCGAAACCATATTTATAAATTTCATTTGAATATTTAGTGTTTGATTATTTGTTTCTTTGCAAATTGAATGCATATAGAGTGTTGTTTACATCTAAATCATCAGAAAACTAAATAATTATCTAGAATATTCAAAAACCTTTAAAATATTATTTAAATAATTTTAAAGTATGGTAGTTTGCCAAAAATTGACCCAAATGGGTACCTAACATAGACAACAAAACATACTCTAGTTTATCCACTAAAATATAAATTGATGTTTCTGTAACGCTAAACAAAGTTGTTAAAGAGGTAAGATGGCATTAGACACACATTAATTTTATCAAGTCATAGGTTCAGTTCTCTCCCTATGCAATTTTGCTCCCATTTAATGGTTAGATCCGCCCTGAAGATGACCGAGTCACGACGGGTTGTAATCGTTGCATCTTACAGTTTTTTCTTTTTTTGGAACTGAAGCAGCTTCCATTCTCGTACGTTGACCTACGTGCCTATACATGACCCTCACGTCGTCCCGAACACATTAACAAATCTTATGCCAGTTTGTTAAAATCTTTATAACGAACGATCATCACCGCATGCGAAGATTGGTCTCTCTCACGTTCCAAAGCAAAGCATCGGCTATAAGAAACCTTAAAATGCAAGAGTTTAAGAAACCAAAAAAGAAAAAATGATGAGGTCGTTGATTTGTCCTCTCTCATCCTCCTCCCTTTGTTCTCGGTCGTGAAAGGCCAAGTTCTCGGTAGCCCGAAGCTGATGAAAGTTGATGAGGAAGTCGTTGAGCTGGCCATGTTTGCAATCGCGGAGCATAACAGGCACTCGAAGACGAATCTTGTGTACGTGGATGTCGTCCAGGGAACCATGCAAGTTGTCCACGGCTTATTGTACCGTCTTATCATTTCGGCTAAAACTGGCACCCGTGCGGCAAAAAATTACGAGGCCGTTGTGTGGGAAAAGCCACAGGGCACGGGCCACCACTCAAACAAGCTTGTGTCCTTCAAAGAGTGTAGATCTGTAGATTTTGTAAATCGATTTCAGATGTATTTATATGTATGTACGCCAATGAGTTAAGATTTTGACATAACATTGTTGTTGGTGTAACGTTTTTGAAATACGAATAATGCGAGACATGTTTCTAATAGTCTCTGAGCATTTGGTTTTCCAGTTCTAGTTCGGTTCCTAAATTCTGGAATCATACGTCCTAGAACCGAAAGGTTTTGGTTTGGGTTGGGTTACGATTGAAAAGGTAACTATTTGAGTATATGTTTCTCGCTCTCCAGAATTGCCTTCTTGACTAAGAAATTGAAATTAAGTTTAGAGGTATCTCCGGGGAAAACAGTGTAAGTCCTTTCACCCCTTATCTGAACCATCATCAAAAGCTAGCATTGCTGGAGGAGGCATATCCAGATTCGATCTTTTGGAGATGGGTTTGGTAATTTTCCGGGTAAAAATATTTAGAAGATATAGATATAAGTAGTAGGGAAGAAAAAACGGGAGCATCTTTGTGTCTATTCCGTCTGTCTTAAGATTTTGACACGGGGTGAAGTTTACTAGATTTTAAAGTGTACTACATGACTGGCCCCCACTCTGTGCGGACATATAATATCTAAAAGAATAAAATTACCGTGTTTAGATTTAGAAGTTGTGAGAGAGAAAAGTTATTGTGTTTAGTGATTCCGGACGGTGGAGTGGGTTTCCACAGCCACCGCCGGTCCGGCTTTAGATTGTCCTTGGTTTTATTTCTCGTTTATAGATATTTGGTAGAGAAGGTTTGGTGTATCTCTTGTTTCGGTTTCAACAGGGTGATGTTTTTATTCTGGGAGGCGGAAGCTTATACAGATCCGTCGAAGAGTGTCTCTACATTAGGGTTTTCTCAATTTTGGGTTTCGGACCCATGTCAGTTTTTATTGTAATGTCCTTTTGTTATGGGTTTTGGTGATCGCATATTTTGGGCTTTGATCCTTTATTAATCAAATTAAAATGGCAAAAAAAAAAAAATTTAGAAGTTGTGTATCCTACTATATTGTCAATAAGTGAAATTGTGCAGTATATAAGTCTTTTATTTAGAAGTTAACTAAAGCTTGTCGGTATATCTCATTTGTCCTTAGCTTTGTTTGTTTTGCAAATATTTTGCCTTGAACCGCATGTAACTATCATTATTGATTGTTTAATTAAATTGTATTTCACAATTTACAGAATTAGATAATAGGATAATGGGGATGATTGGTTGAGCTTTAACTAGTGGTTTTAACTTTATTTTCTATCTACAACCATATAAATCACCAATCATGCTTTAACTAATTTTTAAAGCTAAAGTTAAAAATTTTAAAAATGGCTGCAGGAGTCTCATTTTCTAAAGCAAAAAAAATACTGCTGTAGGTTGCTGTAGGAATATCTTTCTTTTTTTTTAATTTTTTCTAATTTAATTTATACAGCTACATTAGATACAGTTATATCCAAAATTTCTACAGACTAATTTCTACAGTAAAATTTCTACAGTTACAGTCCAACCAATCGCCCCCAATATAGTTTCTTTCAACTATTTATTAGGTGTTAATCAAAAAGTAATTGCAAGAGATATAATGTTATTTTCTTTGAGAAAATAGATAATTACTAAAGCCAATAAAATAAGAAACCAAATCCAAGAAATAACAGTAAGTGAACTGGTGTTCAACAAAAAAAAGAATAGATTCTTCTTCCATTTCTCCAGCTTCACTTGCTTTTGATTTTTTTTAGAGTGTTTTTTGTTGACAGAGAACTGATCCACAACAGCATTATCTCGCGCTCTCATTGGCCTCTTTTTTTAGACAAAAGAGTTGGTAAAAACCACCAGAACCCTCAGATATTTCCTTTCAAATTGCAACAATAAAACCTTTTGAAGAGAAAAGAGATTTGAAATGAGATCTCTTGCCAATGTGGATTTAAACATTTTAATATTAAACAATGTGAAATCGGTTTAGGAGGTAATGCTGCAAACTCTTATCTTAGCATTCACAAAAGTTTTGTAGAGATCTCACCACATATGAAAAAAGTCAAGCATATTGCGATTGTTCTCTAGGGTGCTGATCCTCAACATCATTGCCTCACTCTTATTGGTTTTTTCTGTTAGACAAAGGAGTTGTTGAAGAACCCCCAAAACCCTTAGATATTTACTCTGAAGACTGCAACATCAAAGCCTTTTGAAGAGAAAAGAGATTTGAAATGAAATCTTTTGCCAACGTGGTTGTAAACATTTTAATATTCTTCTAATAATAAGAATAGTAACAGTTCAAGAGGCAAAGTTAAAAATGATTTCATTTCTTACTTCGTTATCAGCAAATACCATTTCAATAGTGTCTCCGATCTTTTTGCTATAATTCTTTCATAGACGAATAATCCTAGCTTCGGATATACCATGTATCTGTTTGAACCATTGCATTGTTTTTTTCTTTTTGAATTATCAACATAGCTTTAATGTTTGTAGTGTAAGACCCTGCCAACTTTATATATTCTCCAACTTCCACGTTTGAGAGTTATTACCATAATAAATTTATATGCCTTATACTAAACTTCCAAAGATATGTACATTAAAATGGCGAAGGAGTTTGTGGGAATGCATTACTAAATTAATATAATGTGGTTCGCAATAATTGCATATATGAAATATCACAAGTAATTTAGAACAAAAGAATGTTAAATTTAAGGAATTAACTAATAAGGAATAATTAGAAAAATTAAATACAAATAAAATCACATTTGTATTCGAACATTTAATGTATAGTATTAATATTTACGAATTAAAGTGTAAGAGTAAAAATGAATATCACCTAGATTAAAACTAATCATGAAACAGTTTAGAGAAAAATATTATAGCTATATTGCTATAATTAGGTTTACAATAATTTCTAAGTGAACTATCGCAAGCAATTTAGCACAATAAGGACTAATAACAATTCATGAATTAATTAATAATGAACATGTTGAAAAATGTACATTTAATGCAATACCATTTATATAGACTTTTATACTATATAGTAGCAATTACGAATTAATGACCAAGTAATAAGGAATCTTACTTAGATTTTCATATATTTTTGTTATACGAAAATTATAGTTTGATATTGGTTAATTTAATGTACACTTAATTAATATTTCCTAAGAAAATCATATCATATAGTTTGACTTTGGTAGCTATACAGATTTTTCAACTGTATTTAAAATTAATTAAAATTAATTAATTACAATTCCAAAGCTTATTATAATAATTTAAAACATCCCTAAGGTAATATAAATAATTTTGTAAATTTATCTATAATTTTATAAATGATTTATATAGCATGCATGAAATTTATTAAACGTTAATAGTTATTATGATACTTTATATACAAATATAAGGCTTTCTATACGAATATAAAATCATTATATCAATTCAAATAATTTTTTTTGTTTCTTATTTTATGTAATTTATAATTATATAAAATTTTGATCACATTATTACTCTTTCATAGTTTCAACAATTAGTTACCATAAATAATTATCTCTTAAATTAAGTAGATGATTGGGAAAGTTGTAATTGATTTATCCTTAAGATATAATTATAATAAAGGAAATTAAAAATTATCGGCCAATCAAATTATAACAATTTGAAGAGTCCACTCATGCACTTAATAAAAAATCACTTATGTTATTTCTCAATCAATATATAGTAGGTTTTCTCTTTTTATAAATAATTTATAAAATTTTATAACTTATTTTAAAATTCAGATAAATTTATTCTTTAAACAACGCTAAATAATTTTGAAAATAATATTAATAAAGATGCTTGATTTTTTTTAATATTTAAAATAGTTATTATATAATTATATTCGAATACAATTCATCAAGTAGAGTATAAAACTATTATAATTATCTTATATAAAATTTCGCTCGTTATATTTTATACTTTATAAATATTAAAAGTAATAAATAAAACATTATTAATCTTTCTATAATTGCGAGAATTAGTTTCCATAAATTGTTATTTGTAATATTCTTTAGATTATATGGCAAGGGATGTTAAATGATTTTAGACTTACCTTAAATTTTAGATCTAAATTATATAAATAAAAATTAAAAACAATCGACCAATCAAATTATAACAATTTCTTGAAACTTCACCTATGAACGATACGTCACCAGAAATCACTAAAATGACTTCTCTTTTAATATATAGGAGAATTGGTAGCATTTTAAATAGAAATACATAAAAATCAAAATCTCATATCTTAAAATAAATAACTTAAAGTGTTTTTAATAGTGTTCAGCTAATGTTTATATTCAAATTCAAATTATCCAAAATAAATCTGTTGAATCAATTCAAACCTCTAAGTTTTTTGTAACAAATTGGTTAAAGAATGTGAAAATCCCATGCTTTTTGTTAATGAGACACTATTCAAAACTTTAACATCCATTTATTTTGCTACATCCAACAGTACAAAACAATGTTGTTTTCACTTCATTTCAGTAAAAAGTAAGAAAAAAAAAACATGCCTTGAGACCTAACAAATTTTATATGAATTTAACATTCCACAGAAACAAAACTTTTCAGCCATTAGCTTAAAACTCCTAAAACTCTACCCAACAAGTAAAGGACTTTGTGACTTGCTCATCGCTTGAGATTGGACCAAACTCTGAATCTTAAGTTTTGCTTCTCCCATACCTTTCTTCTCAAGCTCCTCCACCAACATTTTACAAGTACTATCTCTAGGAACCATTCCTTTCCGCATCGCCTCCTCAAAGAACAAGCAAGCTTCTTCAACTTTCCCACTCATACACAACCCTCTAATGAGAAGAATATATGTTGCCACATCGATACTAACATCGTTTCTCACCATGTGATGCAACAAGACTCCAAGCAGCTTCATCTTCTTCTTCTGGCAACACATCTTCAGCAACGGAGCATAAGTCTCAACGTTTGGACTACATAATCCCTCCTCCTCCTCATCCTCCTCCTCTACCATCCTTTTAAGCAAACGTAAAGCCATCTCATCTCGAGAGTGATGAACCGCAGCTGAAATCATTGTATTGTACACCAAAACATCGCGAGAAACTCCTTGTTTCGTCATATCCTCGAATATCTCAGCTGCATCCTTAAACCTACCAGTCTTAGACAAAATATGTATCAAAGAACTATAAAACTTCGCATCAGGAACACACCCATCTTCTTTCATCTTCTCATACACTCCCAAAGCTTCACCCACTTGTCTAGCTTTACCCAAAGAATGCATCACAATAGTATAAGTCACCACGTTAGGTCTAACCCCACTCTCCCTCATCTCCTCCAAGACCTCATCAACTCTCCTAAAATCCCCTTCCTTACAATAACCCTCCACAAAGCTAGTGTACGTAACAACATCAAGACCAAACCCAGCAACCTTCATCAAATCCATCACCGTCCTAGCATCATCAAACCTCTTAGCTTTACAAAACCCATGAATCAAAATGTTGAACGTCCTCGAATCCGGCTTGATAGAATCAAACATCTTGAGAAACACTTCATGAGCATGCTCTATACTATTCTCCTTCACAAGCGCATCCATCAAACTGTTGAGACCATTAGTATCTCTCCCCACACCATACTTCCTCTCCATGTCCATAAACGCGTCAACAGCTTCACTATACTTCCCTGACTTAGCCAACCTCCTCATCACTTTACTCATCGTATCTAGCGTCACGAGGTCGGATGATTTCATCTCGTCCACCAATACCCACATCAAATCGAAGTTCCTGCACTTCCCCAACACGTCGACCATAGCGTTGTAAGCACGAGGTGAATGCCTATAAGGTGTTTGCGTTTTTGCCCAAGTGAAAAAGGAGTAAGCTTGGTTCCATCCGTTGCTGAATCGTCTCAGAACTTGGAGAACCAGAGTCTCTGACACAACGACGTCGCATTGACTCAAGGCGTTGATGATATCTTCCTTGTTGTTGAGAAAGGCGGAGACTTTATCGATGTCCTCTATTGGTTTCTTGATTCCCGTTGAGGGTTTTTCAAGGACGAGTTTCTGGGTGGAGACCCAATTGGCTAAGGAAGGGATGGAGAAGTCTTCGTCGTTTGAAGAGGAAGGTTTGTTTGAGAGGAAGTCTTTGATCCAAGACGGAAGCTCCGGAGACTCGGGGGACTCATCGGATGTAGAGACAGCATTGTGGGTTGCAAGAAACCGCTGTTGAGAGATTCTCCGAGGTAAGGAAGAAGAGAGAAGCTTACTTATACGGAGCTTCGCGAGCATTTTTGGTTGTCTGATTGATTTGACTCTGTTTTGTTTGATGAAAGGGTCGAAAGTTGGGTCAAAACCTAAAGTTTGTTGATTTACGCCTGGGTTAATACGGGTCGGGTCGTTAATGGGTACGGATCACGGTCCAGTTTCGAACGGTTAGACAATTTGATTTTTAGTTTCTTTTGGTTACCTCACTCAATTGACAACTACTAGGGTGCTTGCTCGCAAATTTGCGGATACAAATACTTTTAAAATATAATGTAATGTTATTATATTTTGATATATTATAATATATTTTTTACTTTTTAAATTGAGTATGAATTTTTGATAAATACTTTTAAATAAAAGGGTAATAGATATTTTATTTATTTTTGTTATTGATTAACTTTTAAAAATATAATTGGTTTTTGTAATATTTCATTATTTTTTATCAGTAACTATATATGAATGATTAGGATTTTAATCTGTTAAGAATGTAATTTTATTTTTTAACATTCACATCTAAATCATATATATTATGTATGTATATTAATCGGTTTGTAGATCAAATTTTTCATCTAAAATTTATTAAAATCTAATAATATGAATGATGTGACAAATAAATTCATACTTGAAACTAAAGTATATATAAATATTATAGAAAAGAAACAAAACTATATATATGTAGGTTCCCATTAGTTTAACACATTTCTCTGTACGATTTAGTTTTTATTAATTTATACATTAATATGTATTCATAGTAATAGTATTCGTATTTAATAGATGCCAAAAAGTTTCATATTATGATATAAATAAATTCCAGCTGGTAAAAGGTTTTCAAAACATTATGAACAAATTTCAGTTAAAATGATTTTGATAAATGAAAACAGTTAGACTCACAGTTCTTATTGATATGGTTTGTAAGTACAAAATAAAGGCTTGTTCTGTTAGCTACTAATTTATTTTAATTTTTAGTTATCTCTATAACATGCATAAAAAAGTTTTTTTTCTACAAATTTTCTTTAAAAAATTGTTTTTAAATATGTATAAAATCATTTATCCAATCGATATAGTTTTTACGAGTCAGTTGATTAAAAGGTATCTTCAATTTGTTTTTGATATATAGAATACATTTTAAATTTACTTTATATATACATATTTTTGTATATCATTATCTATACAACAGACAACTAAAAAAAAGTAATAATAATTGTATTTTATTTTTAGTTATAAATTTTTATAACATACAAGGATATTTTTAAATCTTTTTTTGTAAGCAATTCATTTAAAACGTGAAACACTTGTCATGTTTTAATTGAAATTCTTAAATATGCTTGTCATCTAAAATTAGTTTTATTTTAAATTATACTATATATAATCGTTATATTATTATCTATAAAAACATACGTAATTAAATTACTAACCACTAATTATATTTTTATTATTATTTATGAAATGTGCAAGGAAAATTTTTCAAATCTCTCTCTTTCGTAAGACATTGTTTAATTAAATGCACAAGATACTTAATGAGACAAATCCGAGAATTGATGACTCAATTTCCTTAAATGCATATTTTTATACTCATTATTATTAACTATGATTTGTTTAGTTATTGATGTAAGTTATTTTTAAAATAAATAAAATAAATTTAAATTTAAATATCTTCTACGAGCAAATTAAAATAATTAGTCGAAGAGTTATCATATGATTGACACATCAACAAAAAACACTTAAGTGTCTTCTCAATTAATATATACTAGGTGATTGCCCGCAAATTTACGGGTAAAAATAATTTTAAAATATAATGTAAGATTGTTATATTTTTGACATGGTATAATATTTTTAGCTTTTCAAACTGAATGTGATTTTTTTGCTATATTTTTTTAAATAAACAGATTTTATATTTTATTTAGTTTAATATTATAAATGGTGTTTTCATATTTCATTAATTTTTTTTATCAATAACTATATATGAATGATTAGATTTTCAATCCATTAAGAATATAATTCATTTTTTAACATTCACATCCAGACCATATTTATATGTATATATATATATATATATATATATATATATATATATATATATATATATATATATATATATATATATTAATTGGGTTGTAGATCAAGTTTTCGATCTAAAATTTAGTAAAATCTAATATGAATGATGTGACAAATAAATATATACTTGAAACTAAAGTATTTATGAAGATAATGAAAAAAGAAACAAAACTTTATATATGTGGATTTCCATTAGTTTAATAAATTTCTAATAATATTTCCATGTAAGATTTAGTTTATATTAATTTATACATTAATATGCATTCATAATAGTAATATTTTTTGTATTTAATAGATAATATGAAATTTCATATTATGATAGAAATAAATTCCAGATGTTAGAAAATTTAAAAATATTATGAAAAAATTTCAATTAATGATTTTGATAAATGAAAAGAGTTAGACACGCAGTTCTTATTGATTTGGTTTGTAAGTAAAAAATAAATGTTTATTCTAATAGCTAATAATTTTTTTATTTTTATTTATCTCTATAACATTGAAGAGAAAGTTTTTTTACAAATTTTCTTAAGCAGATTGTTTATAAATATGTATACAACTATTTATCCTTTTTACAATCAATATAGTTTTTACGGGTTTGTTGTTTAAAAAGTATCTTAAAATTGTTTTTTTTATATGTAGAATATGTTTAAAATTTACTTTGTATATACATATTGTTGCATATCATTTTCTATGCAATAGAAAACTAATGAAAATTATGAATAATTGTACTTTATTTTTAATACATATCTTCATCGCTTCAAAGAGGGATTTTTAGATAAAATTGAGTTTCTAGGATTTGGTAAAGTAAGAGGCTTGAGTTGGATACATTGTTTTGATTTAGGTTTGGTCTTTAGCAATTGGAATCCCTAAAAGGAGACGCTTTAGTTACGGTGAGATTTAGTTTAGAGGTATTAGAGTATTTTTTTTTTTTTATGATAATGTGTGTCTCCAATATAATGTGGCTTTGAGTGTAAGAGGAAAGATGGAAAGTGGCTCTAGGTATAATTTTTTTGAAAATGTTGAATTATTAATGATGAGCTAAAGTGAACTCTCCAAAAGCCAATTTTCATAAAACCATTGGTCAATGAAATTTCTGATTTGTTTTTTTTTTTCTTTTCAGTTGCTTTAGATTTAGGTGTCTCTACATTTTTCATTTGTAGTAAGCTTGCTATCCGTTTTTTATTTAGTTCTGATTTTGTTTTTCTGGTTTCTGATTTTTGGAGCTTCAACATATCCAAATTGTTTGGTATTCTAGAAAATTTGGTTTGTTTCGGTTCTTTCAATTTCAGTTTGGTTTTGGTAAAACTATTAGGGACTAATTAATGCCTTAAAATTGATCAATTTCGAATCCAATTTAGCTTCGACCGATATTTTTCAAAAAATAACAAGAAAAATAAAAAATAAGATATAGGGTTAGCAGAGTCCATAGATCTTATACAGAGCTACACAGTGTACAATAGATATATTACTAAATAAGATTTTATGTGTCGGTGTGGAGTGTAAATACTCAAAAAGTAAAGCACCAAAAAGGCCAAAACACAAAGACCATCAACATAGTAAAAGATCTCAAAACAGAGTACTTTATCCAAACGGAAAGAGAAAAAAAAACAGAGGCCATTACACCTCCATAGAGTCTGCTATTTGGAGCAACTTCAACGAGTCTCAGTCAGGGGCAGCGAAGACAACTACTTCCTCCTGGATTATTTGATTCAACCACAATGGTCTGTAGCTCGCTATATAAGATTAATAACGATGATCACGAGTAATGCATGCTGAGAGAGATAGCATCAGGCACATCAGTTTCCTTCATTATGGACGAAGGCAATGCTCCAGAGTCTGAAACTCTGAAGTAATTGTAGAATGGAGAAGAGTAAATCTTCAGACTGAGGAAAGGCCTCTAGATGTAGAATTGCTTCACCTGCAATATAAGAGGGCGATTCAAAGACCACTTTCTCAACATGAGGAGTTGCCAAACTTTCAATAGCCCAAAAAAAAAGCTCAGAAGGTATGCCTCTAGCGTAGATGGCACCATTTAAAAGGCTTGACGTCCGTGAAAAATAGGTCGCCATGCGTGATCACGCACAAACCATGCTACTCCACAGTTTTGGTTAGCGTTGATACAAGAAGAGCTAATGTTGAATTTGACAAAGGAGGTTCATGGTTTTTGCCATCCTACGACTTCATCTGCTGTATCCCATCGTTTTCGACAGAATTGGCTTTCGTTCATGCTTCAGCATCAGTCTGAGATTTTTGTATAATGACATGAGCTTCAGGTCTGATATTCTTGAAGATAAAAAGTGTTGGTTAAGTTGGTTTTGTTGGTAATCCGAATGAGTGTGAACTATATACTTGGATAATGATTGAATCGCACACGAGGTCACTTTTCTTAAAGAGTATTTTGACTTTATTCCAAACTCTTGGGTTACACGAAATCCCTTTGTAGGATAAGACAATCAAAGTTACATTCTTGTTCTAAGCTAAGATACAAGAATAACAAATAGAGCTTTAATGTTTATGTGTTTTTTCAAAGATCTTTGATGATCTTCGAACAATGAATCTCTCTCTCTCTTTTTACTAACTAGTTTCTGATGTTTCTGATGATTCAAATTTTCAAGTTGTGTCATTTTATAATGCCAACAACTCCTTATATAGAGTATGAAAAGCTGAAATGTTTAGCACAAATATTTACAACTATTAGCACCAACAATTGCAATGGTTGGCCAAAAGTCACAATGAGTCCTTACCAAAGGTTTTAATCATCAATGATTGTAATGGTTTATCACCAAAAGATTGCAATGGTTCATCACTAGTAGTTACAATAAAAAAAGTTGCATTTGTTCATTTAAACAATTGCAATGCTTCACTTTAATGGTTGCAATGATTCATTTAAATAGTTGCAAGGATTCACATGATACATTGCATCTAGTCACATAGATATATAATGATACATTGCTTGTAGTCACTTAAAT